AGCACTTGTGGTGCTCTGGTGTGGTGCCAGAGGATGGGAAGAGGGCCAACGTGGTTCCCGTTTTCAAAAAGGGGAAGAAGGAGGACCCGGGAAACTATAGGCCAGTTAGTCTTACCTTGATCCTGGGCAAGCTTTTTGAGAAAATTATTCTGACACATATCCACGAGGGGCCAGCAGGGGAGATCATACTTGGGGGCAACCAACACGGGTTCATTAGCGGCAGGTCCTGTCAGACCAACCTGGTGGCCTTCTATGATCAGATCACCAAGTCATTATATGCAGGGGTAGCAGTGGACATAGTCTTCCTGGACTTTCAGAAGGCCTTCGACACCGTCTCTCACCCTGTTCTCATTAAGAAGCTGGGGGACTGTGGTGTCAACACCCACACAATCAATTGGGTCAGCAACTGGCTGGAGGGCTGCACCCAGAGAGTGGTAGTGGATGGGTCATTTTCGACCTGGAGGGATGTGGGTAGTGGGGTACCCCAGGGCTCGGTACCCACTTCTTTACTGTGTGAGCCCCCCGGGTTTGGAATAGGTTGCTGCCAGAGGCGGTTCAAGCACCCACTTTGAACACCTTCAAGACACAGTTGGATGCTTATCTTGCTGGGATCCTATGACCCCTGCTGACTTCCTGCCCCTGGGGCAGGGGGCTGGATTCGATGACCCTCTGGGGTCCCTTCCAGCCCAAATGTCAATGAAATCTATGAATCTGTTTATCTATATAAGATCCACTTATTAAAACATTGTGAAGAAATTAATATATAATTTTGAATAAGAAGTACATTGAAGAATTTTGAAATCTAATTGTGTTTGGTCAACTGCAATAGAGGTGAAAATTTACTGAAAAATTATTACAAACTATTTCTTTTTACTATTTCAGCACAGAGAAGGAAGCATTAAAGCTCTATGTGTAGAACCTTCTGGTCTGTTCATTGGACTCCATGGCTAGGTACAGATGTTTGGGGAGGTTAGGAGGAGGTTAGATGGCATTAAAAATGGCCACTTGATTTAACTTATTTCACCCAGGTGCGAACCTTACACTTATATTGACTAAACTTAGGGATCTAGCTGTGAACTGTACAGAACTTCAGGAAGTTTAGATCAGTCTAAAATGGCTGATCTGATCTAAGTTACTGCTACCTCCATTAGTTTAAATTAGATTAGGTTAAACAAGACCGATTTAACTGAAATTCTATATGCTTCTCAGCATAGCTCCTAGGCTGTGCTTTTCCTACCTGCTTCTATGGTACTGGGCTATTTGTAATCCCGCCCCCACATGGACAATCCCGTGCCAGCTGTGGACTAGTCAGCATCCTCCCCCACTGAGCTTGCCAAACTCCCCCATCCTGTAAGCTTCTCCTGGTGCCAGTTTGACTGGCATTTGCCAGTGCCAGGAGCCAACTGAAGCAAGTTGGAGGTGGCGGGTGGGTCAGGTGGGATGGAGGATACATTTTCTGGAGGGGAAGTGGAGGTTTTTGCCTAGGGGTGGTAGGGGTCAGGGGGATAAAAATTGCCCCTGGCCTGGTTGTGGGGAGAGCCTGCCTATACCCCCAAACCCCTCTGCAGACCCTATCGTCTTTCCTGTGGACTCTACTAGCCCCGCAATCCCCCCAATCCCGCTCCATGGACCTCACTTGCCCCCTACCCCTCCTGCCAGCCCCCCTTCCCAACTTACCTTATATTGGATGGCCATTTTTAACTCAATCTAACTTTCCTCTAACTTTCCTGAATGTCTGTATGTACCCTTCATAACAAAAGTGGGATATATTTTATAATGCAATTTTCATAATATAAATAGCTGTCTTAGAACACACTTAAGTGTTTCTACTTTTGAAAAATAATAATTTGCTTTAATTTGATGCATTCTCAAAATGTGACTTGAACCCAACCTGATTAATATTTTTAGTGTCCAGTTACACATTGAAGAAATATATGTTTTAATTATGGCTTGCATCATACCTTAGTAATTACAGCACTCCTATGTTGATGCAGTTTGTCAGGATGTAGAAAGAGTGGTTTGTGTATGGAAGTAGATCCAGAAGATGTTTGGCAAGGAAACAAAACCAAAAGGGGTGGGGGGAGGGGGGGGGGAAAGGGGTGTTCATATCAATAGCCAAAGTTAAAGAAAATTTGAATCCAAATTTAAAAACTAACTGCACTTTCAAAGCTCCTTTCCCCTCCACCTCCAGTCATTTTTATCCATTAAAAAGGAATGAATTACATTCATGTTTGAGAAGGCATACATTTGTATCCATTTTTGTCCTCCTATGGCAGAGTAATTTCAGCCTCTGTAGTAATTGACTTTCCAATGACTGTCTTCTGCTCATCTTGAATAGTTAGGCATGATAGGAATGAAGGTCTTGTGGGTAGTGTGTACTGCTCTGGAACTGACTACTGGTGGACTGTTTCTTCTTCACATGTCTTATATGATTTTGGACAAATTATTTAATCTCTCTGCCCCAGTTCTCATTTATAAGTTAGAAATTATTTTTGTCTGTCTGCCTTCCTATATATCTTGCTAGATAGATAGTGAGTGGAGTATGTTTGAAAAGGATTCCATCAACATTTACAAAATATGTAGGCACACATACATACATTGTTTTAGATATTGGTTGAAAAAATAAAAATGCTTTGGCTTTCAATTAAAACCAAATTTTTCTTTCCAAAAATGGAATTTTTTTTAGCAAGAATTTCCCTTTCATTGTAACATCAGTTAATGGAGAAATGGAAAGTTTTCCATCAGTCCTCACAGTAACATTTTCAGGATAGGGACTCTCTGTTATGTATATGTACAGTGACCTCCTGTAGTTGGGTCTGTATTCAAAATGAATAAGAATTTACGCAACATGCATATGTAAATCACCTTGCAAATATGACCTTTGTGTGTGCATGATTATTCAGTTTCATATGTCCCACAATCACCTTAACTGTGCACGTGCTTAATATCTTTAAACTTGTGTCCTACATATACTAGCTTGTTCAAGAATCAAATAATGAACTTGCCACATTCCTGTTCTTGCTTTTCTAGATTGATGTGTTGCCTGAAATTGTGGAGGCTGTGGCAGGGAAGGTGGAGGTGTTCCTTGATGGTGGTGTAAGAAAAGGCACAGATGTTCTTAAGGCGTTAGCTCTTGGTGCTAAGGCTGTGTTCATTGGAAGACCTATCATCTGGGGCTTGGTTTATCAGGTAATCCAGCAAAATTCACTGAATCTTGAACTGGCCTTTTAAAAAATGAGCATGTATAGATACATCAATTATTCCCAAAAAGTAATTTAAAAGCATATTTAAGGTATGATGTCATGCACTCAAAAGCTAGGCAAGGTTTAATCTTGAGTTAGGTATTCTTCTACAGTGTTTTGTCTTCTAATCTGCTAGGGTGAAGAAGGAGCAAAGGAGGTTCTTCAGATGCTGAAGGAAGAACTCCATTTAGCAATGGCCCTTTCTGGTGAGACGTAGAAACTTACTTCCTGACATCACTATTGCTGCCTACTGTTTTATCACAGCTTTCATCTCAAAGGAACTTTGAGAACAGTGGAAACAATTATTTCTGTGTCTTTATGTGTAGAAGGAAGTGCCACACATATTCACTTTCTCTCACTGCAGTAGATTTGCAGGAACTGCATTTTAGCATTCATGTAGCAGTAACCTTATCCCTTGACTTGAGCCCAAGAAACAGACATGGTCTATGGCTTGGGAAGAGGAGGGGGCATGGTGGATCTATGCATATGGTGAACTGCATAGCAAGCAAAGGTTCACAGGTTCTGTTTTGAAATGCTCCTGGTAGACCTAATTTATCCTGCTTTGGGCCATCAGGATAGCTTGTTTTATCAGGTGAAGCATACTTTCTGCCCCCTATAGTTGTGTGGCTCTACTGAAGTTGCTATTTGGAAGAGAACTGAACAGGGTTGAATTCAATGAAGGGAGTGCTGTAATCCTGTTTTTCTGATGAGGGACCAAGTCCCAGAGAGACTAAGTGGACAGGGGTAGTGTGTTTTTAACGGGGAATATAATTTACCACTGAAAGACCACACAGAGAGGGGTAGTAAATTCTCCATCACCAGAAGTCTTTGAATGAGGCCTCAATATTTTCCTAAAAGATCCACCCTAGACCAAGCACAAGCTTTGGGCTCCATACAGGAATCAGGTAAATTCATATGGTAAAATTCCCCATCCTGAAGATCAAGCTAAGTCATCAGAATGGTATGTTTGTGGTGGAGCACTGTTGGGGTGCTTGCCACTATGAGGGCTTTTGCAGGCTACAGAGGAGCCTGCGAGGGAAGCAGCAGAGAGATACACCACCTACCTCCACCTGGAAGGATTTTAAGCAGGGAGGTGTGTGGTGGCTGCTGCAGGGATGCTGCCAAGTTAACATTGTCTAGCTGGAGCTCCTCTGCTCCCAGGAACATCTGGAGGTTCCGGGTAGGAACTATGGGGATGGAAGAGGTTCCTAGGGGCCCAGTGGAGTCCCAAGCCCCAGGGAGAAGGTTATGGGCCTAGGGAGAGCAAGGTCCAGCCTAGAAAGGGGCTTAGAGCTGTGGGCCTACACAGCAACTAGGCGAGCCCCTGATTAGAACTGGCAGGGGTGAGGCCAGGGGCTCAGGTGAGCCCAATTAAGTAATGGACTCATGCAAGATCTCTGGGGCTCTAGGCCAGCCCAGCTTGGGGTGGTGACTGTATGGTGGGGCCCAGGGAAGGGGGGATGATGACCCCTCTCAAGTAGGGAGGTCAGTGGCTGCCAGGCTGACCTTCTGACCCCTTGACTAGCCAATGCAAGGGGGTCAGGGCCAAAAGGCTGAAGGAGTCCACCACAAGGGGAAGGCCAGGGCTGTGGAGACCCATCTGGCACCCTGACTGGTCTGGAGGTGGGGTCAGGGTTTAGAAGGGGCTGAAGATCCCCTTGGGGTGGGGGAGGTTCATAGCTGAAAGAGGGTAGGGGTCAACCAGCATGCAGGCTGCAATGACAGAGGCTGAAGCCCAGCCTCCTGAGGGGAGGCTTCCTCTAAGGGGGTATGAGAGAGAGAGGCTAGTGACTGAGCACAGTCTTTGGGATGGAGGTTGCAGTGGAGTAAGCAGCCCCAGGAGAACACCCAGGAGCCCACAGGGGCAAGGAAAGACCAGGGCAGGTAGGCCTGCCATGGTTCTGGAGAATCACCTAAAACTATGCCCTACTGGGGTGGATAGTGTGGTAGGGCTGCTGGTGGCAGGGCAATCCCCAGAAAATTCCACACTAGTGCTTCCCTACTGAAAGGCAAGTATGGGGCACCAGAAAGCCTCAGCCCCCACTGCCTTGCGGGTGACCCTATGGATTGGAAAGGCTAAGGGAGCACACCCTGAGAGAAAAGCAACAGGTTTGGGCAACAACATGGAGGCCTGAGGCCCAAGGCCTGAACAAGCAAGGCCTAGTGAGAGGCTGGAAGGAGAGTGATGTCCAGGTATGTTGACAGACGCCTGAGCCCTAAGGGGCATAAGGGGGTAGAATGTAAGGGGCTAGAAG